CACGGTGTAAGAAAGGAAGGTGATGCCACGGCTCTATGTACACTGACGCCCTTATTGAGGAACTTCTAGTCCTTCTCGCGAGGAGGCGCTAGCGGCACGTGGGCCACTAGTAGACCACGTCTGTGCTTGTATACGTAACCATAAAATGCCATAAATGATTTAAAATGGATCATTAAAAAATTACTTTATAAAGCAATAAAGCTTTAAAATTTAAAATAAACGAACATCAGTTTAAAAAAAATTATTTTATTCAAATGACATAAAATTTAGCTATGAAATATTCATACCATAACAGTATTAAATTAATTTGTACATAATCTTGATAATTTCTTTTTTTCTCGAGAAACTTTTTTAGTTTTGCGATTTTCTTGTTTTGCAAACTGTCGCATTCGAAGAGTTATGTAATAATGAATGCAATATGATAAAATGTCACTTTTATGCTCGTTACAAGGAAATTCCAATTGAAAACAAAAAATATCATTCTCGATTAAGTCGTCCAGCGTTTTTTGATAAACATTTGAATTGGTAACGTTTTTCGCAAAAACATTTTCAATTTCTTTAAATAATTGAAATATTTTTATGTTTGGATGAATAAGTTTTCCACGAGTTTTTATATTAACGAGATGTGCTTCTGAAAGTTGTCTTATACCATTGTCACTATCATATGCAAAAGCTTTACGACAGTTTTCACAAACTGTTTTTTTCAACATTTTTTTGCATACAAATCCTGTTATATAGTAAATTATGCAATCTACTACGTCAGCCATTGCGTAATCATTGTCAATTATATCGTCACATTCCCAATCTGTATACATAATTAAATCATCCATTTTTGTTTTCAAATTTTTAACGTGCATTTCATGAAAAGAGGTCTTCGTCGATGAAAAAACAGCCTTGAATTCTTCCATTGTTATTTTTGGTTGATTTTCTTTTTCATGTGATAAAAAGTGACAATTTCCAAATTTTGGAGGTCTCAAAATTTTATAAATTGATAATAAATGATATAATTGCATAAATGTTGGTAAAGTAGGATGGTCATTTTGACTATTAGCTTGTCTGATTATGCCGAAAAATCTCTGAAAAAAATTTCATTGAAACAAAATGTTTAAAAGACCGAAGGAATTTATTTGAAAAAAAGTGCTTACTTCTAAGCAGTCTTGATTCAACTTTGCTGTTAAAACGTATTTGAAATTACATGTAGTCAGTAAATATTCTGTCAATGCAATAGTCGAGTGCAATGTCACGCGTAAACCTTCTGCTGTTTGATGCGACAAAAAATGAATAGGAGTAATAGTTGCTGCCAATTCTTTTTCCCATTCATCGAGCCAGATAATGGTTTCACGTAGCACCTAATTATATAATACATTCCTAGCTTATTTCCCTATAGAATCATATTACGTATCATAGAATTGAAATAACGTAGAAAAATAAGTACCTTTAAATCTGAGCTACCAATTTTGATACCTTCTTTCGAGAATTTTCGATTTAAGGCATCAAAAAGCTGATTAATTTTTTTCGTAAATGAAATAGTGGCTTCACAGCCAATAAAATCAGGGTGGTTTCTAACAAGATAGCTTTTTAAACCATCACCAACAGTGTTACTGAAAACCTAATAGATAGAAGGAATTTTAATTGAAGCCATAGAATAATGCAGCACATACTGATAAAACAGTCTTCTTATGTCAATACCCGGAATGTGCGCCCGTTGTTCGTATATGCACAAGTGGGTACCAGGGTACCCGGGTATTGACATAAGGGTTAATGAAAAATCAAATGTACTTGAGTTGCAAAAGATACCCGCATTTTCGCGGTATTTGTAGGGTTAATGTGATTTTCTGTTAACTTGGGACAAAGTCTGAGATTTGCAGGAAGTTTTTTATCCTCCTTAAATAAATTTTGATAAAATCTCCACTCAACTTCTTGTCCATTTATCTGAGAAATAGATTTAAAAATATTGAAACATAAAATATTAGAGAAAATATTAGAGAAAAATTCATGATAGTAATGAATACCTTAAATTTTTTTTTATTAAAAAGATTATTCCGTATACACTTTATAAGATGAGGAGCATCTGAAAAAGCATACACAACTCGAGAATCGTCGACAGGGTTTTGAAAAAAGTATTTTGGAGGTGTAACTGTCCCTTCTTTTTCATTTATCTTCAGCTTTCCACTTATGCCTAACTTAGTCCATAGCTTTCTATTAGTTGACGCCCCATCACAGATTATACCATGAACTTTTCCACCAGCTTTTTCAACTTCAACGATCGCTTTTAATACCAATCCGGCCAATGCATCTCCGGATGTTGCACCTTTACATGCAAACATTCCGATAGGTTGATGGAATGTATGCTTTACCGATGAAAACATGAATACTAAAGCATGATCGGCTTGTACCATAGCATTCGGAACATCAGGACAATTTTCCGTGCCAAAATCAATCAAACCATCGAATTTCATATTTTTTACGTTGACTTCAAGACTCGCTCTCAGTTGTATCTCATCAAATGTTAAAATTCCATGTCGAGCATCTTCTGGAAGTTTCCCCAATTTTATTTTGAGTAAAGTGAAAAACTTTTCATCAAAACCACACCCTGTATTAGAACTACGAAGGTATCTGCAGATAGTTGACTTAGAAGGTAGTGGAAGAATTTTATTTTCTCTAAGCATGTTGTACGTTGCCGTACTCCGAATGTGTAAGAGTAAACATGTTAGCATCCATTCGTTACTGTATCTATTATTTGTAGAAGATTTTTTTCGTGCAGTTGAAATGCATTCTCTAATCAATACAACCTAAAAAAAGGAAGAAAGCGGCACAATACAAGTGGCATGCAAGAATAAATTTTTAATGAAATAAAGGGAAATGTGATGAAATAAAAAACCATGCGAAAAACCTTGCTAAAAAATTTATAAAATTATAAAATTATCAAATTTTTTAAAATTATTTTACATCTGGAAACGCAGAAGTATCTTGAGGTTCAGTAATTAAAAAGAAATTCTGAATATTTACAAATCATTAATATTGAAAATTCTTTATGAACATAATGTTGGAGGCTTTACAATTATATTTAATAATTTCATAAATAATAGAAACACAAATTTATCCGCTTACTTGTGGTTCTGGTAGATTCAGTTTTTCAATTTTTTTCTCCAAACTTTTAGTCTCAATTTCATCCATTTTCTTCTGCAATTCGTCTATATATTCTGTTATTTGCTTGATTTTTGTTTCTTTTCTTGTTAGCTTTCGAGTTCGCACTCGAGCTCTTCTGTAAAGTAATTGTACTTTGTTTTTTGTCGTTGGTGATAAGACAAGTCGTTTTTTAGAAGTACGTTGGCGATCAATATGCTGTGCAAATATTTTGTGTAAAGATACACAGTACTGACATACACTGCCCTTCGTTACAACAGTTGGACAATAGTTATGTCTCCATTTGTTATTTTCATCTTTATATGCACACTGAGGATGTATTTTCTTAAATGTTGCTACTTTCGGGCCACCAGGACATACTATCATCTTATCTACTTCTATTAATAAATTTTCCAAATCCTCTTGACATTTGAGATCACTTATACATTCGACAATATTCTTTTGGCCTATGAATACTTTTACATAAAGTTGATCATCCAAGATTACCTATTGAAAAAGTTAAATTGTTTTTATTAAAGATATTTTTGTTTATTTAAAAAATTTAGACCTCACCTTTTTAGTATAAACTGGAACTTTGTTCTCCCCACGCGTCGGTGTTGATGCAAGTTCTAATTCTGAAAAGACTAGTATTGGAGGTTCCAATGATTTGTGAAAGTTTCATTTTGCCCCAGGTTGGTTAATATGGATTTCGTTGGCACATATTTGTTGAAAGAGAGATTTAGAACCATTTAGATCATTTTTATTAATTGTGTTGCAAAGATTAATGGTTGATTTAATAACTTTATTCGATGTAATTAAATGTAATTTGCTATCACTGGTTACTGGCGTATCTTTTTCAGTGTCAATGGCAAATTCATTGGTATCTGATTGTGATTTTGTATTCTGTAAGACTGTAAAATTTGTAGGGAGAGTTGAAAATTTTGATATGTTTTGTAATTCTTCTGTCAGGTCCTGAGATTCTTCTATTACTGCACTGGTATCAATTTTGGCTAATTTCATCGGAGGCTCATCAGAATTCAGAATTGGCATTGCTCCTTTGATAAGTGATTTCTTTGAAAAGCGTTGCTAAAACCATGCATATATGATACTGAGTATCGGTTTATATAACAGTTTCTGAAGATTTATTTGAATAATACATTTAAAGAAACTTACCTGAAAAATAATTTTCCCATCTTCAGCGATAATTTTTTCCGATTTTATATCATTTTGATTAAAATGTTTTTCACAAACACAGGATTTTTCATTCAAAGCACAACCTAACCTTTCCGACCACACTTGAATATTATTTTTGGGCACCGAAAAAATAGTAATTTTTTCGTGTTCATGACGTCGATGACCACTTTTACAATGCGAAACTGCACATCTTCGACCCATCTTGTTTGAATAAAAAATTCAATAATTAACGGAAAACGATCTACAAACAAGGTTAGTGACCTTTACCTTCTGTACTGGTTGGGCCACGGTGTGAACGTGAACTGTTCGTGGTGCATACCCACACAAATACCTAATGTCCGTGTGGCCTACGTACGGCTAGCGCTGCTGGCGGATTTTTGTGACAACTCTTCAGTAAGTGCGTCAAGCTCTCACAGTAGAGAGATAGGCCGTGACATCACCTTCTTTTCTTACACCGTGGTCTATACCGATCGAGACGGTATAGTGAGGGTGAGATTGGTCGTTCGCGGGGTTCCACAGGGGTCAGTACTTGGCCCCCTATTGTGGAACCTGGGCTTCGACGCAGTTCTCCGCACCACTCTGCCCCCGGGATGATACGTATTAATTGGGTGCATCAAATTGTATTAAAAATGTTTTTTTAATCAAATGCACGCGCGAGCAATACAGCGTGACTGACCATTTTTACGCGTTCGCGGTTCTGTATTTGAACCTTTTATCGACCGTGACGGTAACGTAGCGCGCTCGCCTGCACCGCTCTGCACCGTAGCTCACCGGGTAACGGAACTCATTAATGCTCCCCACTGTACATCACAGTAGAGGGGACCCGCATCCCCATGGGGGCTCAAATAAAACTTTTGGGCCTTTGGTTGGATGGAACTTGGAGCTTTGGCGAGCACTTCACTCGCCTGGCCCCCCGAGTTAAGGGTGTGGCCGATGGTCTAGCTAGACTTATGCCAAACCTAGGAGGGGCGAGCGGACGTGCTCGCCGGCTGTATGCCGCAACCGTGCACGCCGTGGCACTCTATGGCGCCCCTGTTTGGGCGTCAAAGGCGGAGGGCTCCAGGCGCATCAAAATGCTTCTGCGCCAGATGCAGAAGCCTGTAGCCCTGAGAGTGTCACGAGCATACTGCACGGTGTCACACGCGGCGGCGACTGTCCTGTCCGGACTTCCCCCCATGGAGCTAGCTGCGAGGCAGCGAGCTGATACGCATCAGCGAATAAAGGAGTTGAGAGCCCGGGGGGGACCAACAACACCAATTCCGGATAGGGCACGCCAAGCCATTAGGCTCCAAGAGGCGATGGTCCTGCGGAGAAAGTGGCAGGAGTATCTCCGCAATCCAACTCTAGCCGGGAGAAGGACCGTCGACGCCATCCGACCCTGCCTGGACGAGTGGCTGGGCAGACGGCGATGCGGGTTATCGTATCATGCGACGCAGGTGCTCACCGGGCACGGCTGCTTTGGTGAGTACCTGTGTCGCATTGGGAAAGAGGCCACCAATAGATGCCACCATTGTGACGCGGAAAGAGACACGGCGCAGCACACGCTGGAATTTTGTCCGGCGTGGGATGTGCAGCGTCGTGTCTTAAAAGGGAGTGTAGGGGACGATTTGTCCCTGTCGGCGGTCGTGGCGGCGATCGTCGACAACGAAGAGAAATGTAGGGCATTCCTGGCCTTTTGCGGCCAGATAATGTCCTCCAAGGAAGAGGCCGAGAGGATTCGCCGGGGGGAGAGAAACCCTCCCCCGGGTCCGGCGAATGCCTCTCAACACAGATATAGGCGAGCCATCAGAAGAAAATAACACCCACTGCTCGCCTGGTCGCTGCTGCAAGACAAACAATCGCGGCACCGTACGAGGGCTGACTAGTACCTCCCAGCCTTTTCTCTCCGACGAGAGGGAAGCTCGGAGGAGGAGAGATTCGGCGCTTCCGGCGGGGAATCCGGAGCGCCGAACACATACTCTCATAACAACGAGAGGATCGACAGAGTGGACGGTGTCCCCACCCTGTCATAACAATGGATAAATAGGCTCCTTGAGCCACGAGCCAACAGCTCAAAGAAGGGAGCCATAACTGGCTCGGCGCCGAGGGTGACCCGGATAGCAATAGTAAATGTTCCCGGGCACCTTCAACAACAACGGCGCAAGTAAGGACACCCGTGAGGTTTTAGTGGGTAGGCTGCGCGCGCTGCACTTTATCGAATGCAGTGTGCGTGGAATCTCACACTCCCCTCGTCCTCTCCCCGGAGGGCGAGGGGGTCTTCCCCCTCCAACACCAGAGGGGGCTGCTGGGCTACATACCGGGCTTGCTCGGGAACCCAACAGTTGAAGATTTCCTCACGTAAAAAAAAAAAAAAAAATAAAGGTTAGGTTAACGGGTTTGCCACATGTGTAATTCTAAGTTAGCATTTTTTACGGATGCGTCTCGTCAAGACAAACAAAAAAACCTATATAAACATGATTTTATTTTGCTTTTGGAATTAATCATAAATAAAAAACGAATTTTTGAATACTTTGACGATTTATAGCGGCCAAAAGAGAATTTTGCGGGGGTTTTGACCTAATGAAAAGTTGTTGCGTTTGAAAAGTACTATTTATCTCAACAGTTCCCATCCCCCTCGCCCCCCCCGTTTGGGCTCTGTATACTTGGACGGTAATTGGTTTTTTATTTTTAGCGGCCAAACGGGATTTTTGGGAGAGGTGCGACATAATGG